CTGATTTTCATTCTGACCTTTGACCTTTAAAATCCATTTGTGGAAGAGAGAGAGAGAAACCAAGAAACAGACTCTTAATAGTGGAGAACAAATGGATGGTAACCAGAGAGGAGATGGGTGAGGGATGGGGGAAAGGGAGGTGGGGATTGAAGAGGACCCTTACCATGATCCAAAAACACAAAATAAAATCAATCTGCAAAGGAATATCTTATCAGCTATGCATGTATTGAGTGCCCATATGTATATACACCCACGCTCGCACGCACGCACACACACACACACACACACCATCACACCTTAAAACTATATAAATAATAATGAATCTAAAGACACTTTATATATCTCTCTTTCTATGTCTAATAAAAACTGGTTTTGATCCAAAACTGCTTTCGTTAAATTACATGGGATAGAGTCACAGCTTTTATTTTTATTAACAGAATGATAGCTAAGAAAATTTTATGTTGGTGTGGATATGACATTCGCTTACATTTTTAAACATACGAAATGTATTCATTTCACACATATCCGAGGGCTTTTGCAGGCAGGATGTCCAATAAACAACAGACCTCCCTCGGAACAAAAGGATGCTTATTTGAGAGCAGAAACCACAAATTAGGAACCAAGAAATATGTTGTAAATTAATTGGAAAACTTTATGGAAATCCTTTCTGTTGTTAACACTTTGTTTCATTTATTTTTGGTGTTGTATGCATCTGCTGTCTCTTCCTGCCTCCCCCCGCCTGTATACCCGCGCACTCTACGTCATACTCTCTCTCCCTCCCTCTCTCCCTTTTCTCTCCATTCCCTCCCTCCCTTCCCCCCCCACCACCCAACACACTTATTTTTTTTCTGAACTATCTGAAAGGAAGTTAAATACATCAAGGTGCTTTATCCCTAAATCCATTAAATAAGGATATTTTCTTACATACCTTTAGTACAGTTACCAACCGCAGTAATTGAACATTGATAGAATACTTGAATCTACTGTTCATATCTCAGTGTTATTACTTGATCTAGCATTATCTAGATCACTTTCCCCACTCCGTTATAACACCCAGGCAGTGATAATGCCTTACATCTACTTTTCGTGTCTCTTTCGTCTCTTTTATAACAGCGACACTGTTGAAGAACACCAGCTCCTCCCCTCAGCACTCTTTTTCAGTAAAATGGTTTCCATTTGGGTTTGTCTGACATTTCATCATGGTTACATTTCAGTTACACAGTCCTGACCAGAAGAGTGCCTAGGTGTGCCCTTGTGAGGGTGTCACTGTGTGGGAAGATACTTTCAGACCTTGAAGGTATCCCACTCTTCATCAAAACATCTCCCCAGATGGGGCACCAGGATGGTTCAGTTGGTTAAGCATCCAACTCTTGTTGTTGGCTCAGGTCATGATCTCAGGGTTTGTGAGTTTGAGCCCCACGCTCTGTGCTGACAGCGTGAAGCCTTCTTGGGTTGGGATCTTCTCCCTCTCTCTCCCTCCCTCCTTCCCTCCCTCCTTCCACTGCTTGCTCTTGCTCTTTCTCAAAATAAATAAACTTCAAAAAAATAAAAAATAATTTTAAAAAATCTCCCCAGTTGTAGCACCTACTGATGATATTGGTCTCAACCATCCTTCATGTGATGGTTGCAAAAGGGTGACCCGCCAACTCCATTTGGCTTCCTCCGTCACCATTTCATAGTTCCTGCTCAACTAGAAGAGCTCTCCCTTCTTCCTCCCCCCGCCCTGTATTATGTATTCTGTAAATCCATGGATTTATATTTTTTCAATAGTTTAGAATTTGTTATTGCCTCTGAATTATTTTGGTGCAGTGAAAACCCTCTCTGGCTGGACCTTATGTCTCCGTGACATACATGCTGCATCATTTCTTGAGCAGTTTCCTCCTTCATGGTAATATTACACGATGTTCCAGGCTCCTTCTGTGCCTCCTTCAGGCCATGTGTGGAATCGGCCAGTCCTTCGAGAAGCCCTGGTTTTGTTCAGGTTATGGTATTAGAAATTAAGATACGGACACTAGATGTGCTCCTTGCTCCTGGTGTTTCTTTGCTCCTAGGTCCTTTCAGTGGATAGTGCATGGCTCTACACACATGCGTACCCACATAGTGGTTCACACACACGCATACACGTGTGGATGCACACATGTACACATACTTTTTTAAAATCATTCTACTCCATCCCCACAGGCCTCTTCCTTGTCTTCCCCCATTCTAGTATTTGTATGTCTGGCTTCCATCAACATCAGCGCATTTGCTAATTTGTTCAGTTCTGTAACACATCTAAGTATTTTCAGAATTGTTTCACTCACTTAACAACAGAAGACACAAAACTTAAGAGCTCAGGATTTGAGTTCTTCCCCGCACCCCACTCAAGATGGGGAATACTGGGTTCATAAATTACTCTTCTGTGCTTTTTCATCTTCCTTACTAGAAATCCTTCACTATTGGTTCTCTGAGATCTTCATTCTATCTTACAGCTGCTCAGAATTTCATTGATGATATGTACACAGTTTACTTAACCAATTTCCTATGCTTCAACATTTAGGCAGTATTTTGTAATTAGAAATGAAGCTGTAGTGGGGCGCCTGGGGGGTTCAGTCAGTTAAGTAAGCATTCAACTTCGGCTCAGGTCATGATCTCAGGGCTCGTGGGTTCGAGCCCTCATTGGGCTGTGTGCTGACAGCTTGGAGTCTGGAGCCTGCTTCCGATTCTGTGTCTCTCTCTCTCTCTCTCTGCCCCCTCCCTGCTTGCCCATGTTTTATTGTAGTACTAGATAGGTTTTTTTTTAACGAGAGAGAGAGAGAACAGGCAGGGGAGAGAGGCAAAGAGGGAAATAACAGAAAGAGAGAGAATCAAGTAGGCTCCATGCTTAGTGCAGAGCCTGATGCAGGGCTTGATCCCATGACCCTGGGATCATGAACTGAGCCAAAATCAAAAATTGAATGCTCAGGGCACCTGGGTGGCTCCGTAATGTAAGCTTCCGACTTAGGCTTAGGTCATGATCTCACCGCTCGTGCTTTCAAGCCCCATAGCAGGCTCTGTGCTGACAGCCAAGAGCCAGGAGCCTGCTTCGGATTCAGTGTCTCACTCTCTGTCTGCCCCTCCCCTGCTTGTACTCTGTCTCTCTCTTTGTCTCTCTCTCAAAAATAACATAAAAAAAGTCAGACGCTCAACCGACTTAGCCACCCAGGTGCCCCTAGATATCATTTTTTACACTTAGATATCTCATCTATTTGGTGTTTATTCTTTTGTACCAAGGGAAGAATGGGTCTGATGTATCCTTTTCCACCGGAAAAGTGTTTAAATGTTCATCTTTGCCCCAGTAATTTGAGATACCACCTTTATCATACTATAGATTTCTATATGCAGTTGGGGCTCTTTCTAGACTTTGAATTTCTCGAAGTCCCAGCTGAGTTTTCATTAAACATTTACATCTCAGAGGCTACCAGGTTCCAGGATTTACAGTATAGAGGAATTTTTAGGCTTCTTTCCCTTATTGTTTTTTTTTTTTAACACTTTTTAAATTTTCTGAATGTTCAGAAACCATCCAAAATTATTTTTGTCTTTAAGAAAACTTGATTGATTTATTTTTGAAAGAGAGAGATAGAGCAGGGGAGGGGCAGAGAGAGAGAGGGAGACACAGAATCCAAAGCAGGCTCCAAGCTCTGAGCTGTCAGCACAGAACCCGACACAGGGCGCCAACTCACAAACCAGGAGATCGTGACCTGAGCCAAAATCAGGAAGTGGTCGTTTAACCGACTGATCCACCCAGGCGCCCCAAGGTATTACCAGGTTTTAAACAGTAAACTTTAGCATGAAGTTTTAATAACCTCCCAAAATATTACCATTGGAATCCCCCCTTACTATCCCTTCAATAAAAGAGGTGTTTTGGAAAAGTGCATCTAATGTATGTAAAAAGAGGACAGGTGTATGGGGGCCCAGCTGGTCCTCAGAAGCCACGTGCTCTGAGCTCCGTTCTGCCTCTTGTGGATTCGAAGAACCACCAGGGAAGCAGTTTATTCCTCTCCTCCTTCCCAGGAGCGAACAAGTGTAAAGTACAGACCAGATGTGAGTGCAGGAGTAACACGGAGGGTCTAGAATAATCGGGCAGCCAGAGTTGTATTTATATGCAGTGTTTTAAGTATTTCACTTCCTAGAAAAGGCTTAAATAGGGGTATGTACACGTTCTCTCTCTGCTTTCCCGCCCCCTCTCTGTTCTCGAATGGCCTCCCTCAAGTGGAATGACTTGATTTTTAAATGTTTCTCCTAACTTGGGGGATATAATAAAAAAAAATCTATTTATAAGCCCCATTTAGAGGGAGACAGGACTCACGTCGGCCATGTGGTCTCTGTTTTTATCAAGTTACATTTCAGGGAACATATTTCCTCAAGGAGAAATCAGGACATGTAACTTGATTTAATTCAACATGTCACATCCTATAAAGCTTTAAAAGTGAAGCCAGGTTTAATTATAAATTTGACAAGTCACTGGTTTGGAATAGAAGAGAACTCTGTGAAGGTGGGCCCTGCCCTGTAAGCGTATGCAGATGACAGAGCGTGACAGCAACACCCTCGAGAATCCCTCTGTTGTCCCGAGTGTCCGTGAGGCAGTCACGCAGGTAACGGTGCTGTCTTCCCATTTCCTGCCACCAGGACTATTATTTTGTTATCGCAGCTCTACTCTTCTTTCCTGCTCTTCTCCTACCAAACAGAGACCCGGAACTTTCTTTAAAACTTCATTCTTCGAAGCACCCAGAACAGCGTAGATGCGTGTCTGCACGCACACAAGCATGACGTAGCACCTGCTTCTGAATAGGCTTGTCATGGGGAAACCTTTGGACTTCAGTTTGTACTAAGGTCTTTAACTTGCACTTACCGGTGGTAGCTGCCCGTGTTGCTGACGGCTGGTTAAGCGGGAACGGACTTAAGAGTATTCAGACGTGTTATGGGCTCGTCTTCCTGCTAATGTCCACACCTTTCACGTCGCCCCCCTGTTTGCCTTTCAGTCTTACCGTGACCAGCACAGTAGGAAAGAGAAATTTGAGCCCCAGCCCAACAGAAGCTGACCTGGAGGCCAGAATGTCGGGCGAGATTTCTGACACTGAGCTCGAGCAGACTGAGTCCTGTGCAGAATCCCTCTCCGAGGGAAGGAAAAAGGCCAAGAAATTAAAAAGGATGAAGAAGGACATTTTGCCAGCAGGTTTGTATAAGATCTTACTGAAGTCCTGGAGTTATGTTCTCTTTAACGCTCTAGAAACTCCCATTTGCGGGGAGGAATGATAGCAGGGCTTCGGCCGGTGGCAAAGCCCGTGTACAGTAGTCTCCCCTTAGCCAGGACTCGCTTTCCGTGACTTCACTGACCCACCGTCCACTGAGATCCAGAAGCACATGATCCGCGTCAAAAGGTCAGATGTACCGTTAGAAGGTCAACGGTGGCCTAATGCTAGGCCTGTGTCATTCCCAGTGCCTGTGTCATTCAGCTCACTTCTGTCTCATCACAAGGGCATTTGATCATCTCACGTCATCACAGGAAGAATGAATAAGATATTTTAAGAGAGAGACTAGTTCATAGAACTTTCGGTACAGTACATTGTTCTGACTGTTCTCATTTGTTTTTAGCCATTGTCAGTCTCTTACTGGGCCTAGCTTATAAACTGAACTTTACCCCAGATATGTATGTACGGGAAATCACGTGGTGTAGAGAGAGGTTTCAGGCATCCTCTGGCGGTTTTGGAATGTATCCCCCTCACGTGAGGGGGCTGCTGTAGTGTTCCACAGGACCAGCCGCTTTTAGGATCCATTTAATTTCATTTGAGGAATCCCTAAAAAGCCCTGTCTCCTGATAGAGGAAGGCTTGGCAGGGGCCTGCTTAGTTAAAGATGGTCAGTCCGTCTTGGTAATCCTCTCTCTCTCCTCCACGGTTTAGAGGCTTTGCTGATGTGTGTGAGTTGACTCGGTATTTTAAGTGTGCGTTTCCATTTGCACAGAGGCCTGCTCCCACACATGTTATTTTCAGTGGCAGAATTTTCACCGTTCCCAGCAAAACGCCAGGCAGCCTACATTCCCCTCACAAGCAGAATTACGTAAGGAACGAAGGGAACAGGAGGCTGACCTGTGTTGAGAGCCTAGTATGTGCTGGGTGCTGTGGTGGGAGCCTTCTAGCCCAGGCCAGCCTGGAGCAGAATCCCACCTTCTCTCCACCACCCAGACGCCATGGGGGGCTCTGCGTGCCCTGACCCAGCCCAGGTCATCACGGTCCAGTTTACAGGACAGAGGACTAAAGTTTAACGTGACTTGCCCAGGGTCATGGAGCCCTTGCGTCTGCCCTGCAGGAAAGCCAGGGCTTTCAAGCACAGTCACATGTTTTCGGCTGAGGGTAGAAGGGCCACTGACCGAGCCCCGATCGTTCCTCCTTTATCTCTGGTCACCGCGGGCTCCGGGCAGCAGAGCCAACAGGCAAATCAAAGGAAAGTGGTAAAGCACTGGAACTTGATTCATGCGCAAGCTAAAGAATTCATCGTGTTTCAAATTAATTCCTCCTTTTTCATGTGGCCTGATCTGACCGCAGGGAGTTTTCTGAATCTCCTTGATATTAATGAAATCAAGGAAGCAGCCAAAATGTTGCATATGTTTTTATATGTTATGCTGAGGTTTAACTTTAAAAGCTTAAAGTCCTGTTTGAAGCCCAGATTGTTTATTTTATTTTATTAAAAAAATTTTTTAGTGTTTGTTTATTTTTTGAGAGACAGAAAGAGACAGAGTGTGAGCGAGGGAGGGGCAGAGAGAGAGGGAGACACAGAATCTAAAGCAGGCTCCAGGCTCTGAGATGTCAGCACAAAGCCCGACGCGGGGCTTGAACTCACGGACTGTGAGATCATGACCTGAGCCGAAGTTGGACGCCCAACCAACTGAGCTGCCCAGGCGCCCCATCAGATTGTTCATTTTAGCTGCCTCCTTGAATCCTGGGTTCTCCTTGACTTGCCTCCCTTCCCATCTCTAAATTGAGTATTGGAGAAGTGTTTAATTTATACCATACTTAGTCCTCGCCTGTGATATCTTACCACTGACACATTGTCCCTGCTTAGCAAACGTTCATAGTAAATGTTGGCACGACTTTCAGAGATCAAGGCCAGTATGCTGCGGGGCATGGTCCCCTCTTGTATTCTTTTCCTTCTGACATCATTCTCTTCTGAATTTTTCAGCTTATCTCTTACTTCTCAGGGACAAGATGACAGGCGGTTCCCCCCTCTTCTATCTCAGCATAATCTTAAAGGTATTAACATTAGAACACCTAACAATAGACCGTATGAATAGATTAGCTCCTTTTTATAACTTTAATCATGCGAAGTGAAAACTTTCTACAAGCTGTTCAGGGTCTCAAATGTGTAATGCCGTCATCAATAGGTTTTTATTCTCCTCCCATTGACAGTAAAGCTGTCACTGCCTCAAAATTGGGGCTAAAGAAGAAAAAAATGATAGATTTTGTATTTCTTCGTCAGTCCCGCTAAAAGAGAGAGAGAGAAACATCCTGACAGCTTTTAATCGAATCAGAGAACTGGAGGTAACCAGGCCTTCTGGAGCACCGTTCACCAAGCGACACCTTCCAGCGGCGCGAAGCTGGGGGCGGACCGGGTCATTCACAGCTGCTTTGTGGTGAGCGCGTGGCGCTCACCTTGTCGGCAGGGTGCAGGCCCAGATGCCAGGCCCCGAACCTGTGGAGTCAGCTGACTTCCCTTGCTCGGCGACTTGAGGGCCTGCACGGAGGGGGAATACAAAGGTCTGAGCCCCTGTCGAGTCTGTGCTAAGCTCTCAGAGGTTCAGAGGGCCTCACGAGCCGTGAAAACCTGGGTGGGGTGTGACAGCTACCGGGTGGGACGCTTCAGTGCAGCCCCCGGGGGCGTCCGTCCTGCCCGGACAGGTTCTGGCCCTCCTCCCGGTGGGAGAGTCTGCAGGGGCCCCAGGCAGTCCGCAGAGGTGTGCCCGGCGCCCGCACTCTCAGCAAAGGCACGGAAAGGGTGGAAGAGACAGCGTTCCGCCTGTGAGGGAGGTTTCTGTTTTTGAAGGAGGAAGTCGCAAATAGCAGGACCATAGAGTGTTGTGTACTGTCGTGGTCCTGGGGCCATCAGTACTCAGTAAGTCCCACACAAATTGTCTTCTGTCTCAGTTACAGGTTTTCATACGTAAGCTAAGCTGAGAGTTCACTGGACCCCTTCCCCGCTAACAAAATTACTTAAATTGCAAAAGAAATGACTGTTTATTTATCATGTACCAGGCATTGTGCCAGGAGCATCCTTGACTCTCTATTTCCTGTAAACAGCTTGTAAAGTACAGATACCGTTATTTCAAATTTGAAAGAATTACAAAGTTGCAAAGTGAAATACAGCAGGTATTGGGGGCTGTGGGCAGGGCTCACACATCAGACCACTCTGCAGTATGTGAAATCTACCCAAACTTTTTTTTAAGTTTCGTTATCTTGAGGCAGAGAGAGAGAGAGAATGAGCAGGGGAGGGGGCAGAGAGAGAAGGAATCCCAAGCAGGCTCTACACTGTCAGTGCAGAGCCCGACACAGGGCTTGAACTCACGAACTGTGAGATCATGACGGGAGCCAAAATCAAGAGCTGAACGCTTTACCGACTGAGCCCCCCAGGCACCCCGAAATCTGTCCAGACTTGAGAGGAAGCAGAGGATTCTTTACAGAGAGGAGCATTCCTGGGGGCTGGTGAAGGCCAGACTCCGTCGCCTGCTGTGACTTTCTTGTGATGAAGTCATGGGATCCAGGCAACTGTTCTCGCTTCGAGCTTCTTAGGTACGAACTCTGTACTTCGCAGATACTCTCCTCTTAAGTGTTGTTTACCTCCTGTTTGCAGGACACAAACACATGATGTAAGTCCCTCCTTTTAGATGTTTTATGATTAGTGTAGATGGGTAGTGCTCTCTGTTTTTCCTCGGAAGAACTCAAGGTACGCTGTCTGCTGGTACATAAAGGAAGCCAATTCCGCGTGCTGTCTGTGCTGGAATAAAGTATCCCTGGGGAATGTTCTCCAGACAGGTTGATGGATGCGTTTCCATGGCATACTTGTTCTCGCAGATAAGTGAATAGTGTCCCACTGTCCTGACTCTGACCAGACTGGCCATCCTCAAAATACTGACAGGTTCCGTCGGGTCCTGCGGGCGATGGAGGAGTGCCCAGAGACACTGTTCCTCAGGGTTTTTTCGTCAGATGATAGGCTGCTACAAGTCTTTTTCTTCCTTACATTTATTATTTTTTTAATGTTTTACTTGTTTTTGAGAGAGAAACAGAGAGAGAGAGAGACAGAGCATGAACATGCAAGGGCAGAGAGAGAGAGGGAGACGCAGAATCCAAAGCAGGCTCCTGGCTCTGAGCTCTCAGTGCAGAGCCCGACACGAGGCTTGAACTCACAAGCCATGAGATCATGACCTGAGCCAAAGTCGGACGCTTAACCTATTGAGCCACCCAGGCGCCCCATTTCCTCCTTACATTTAAAACACAACACATTAGACCTTTAAATGTTTACCAGGAACCAGCAGTTTCACTGGGGTCTTGACTAATCTGTTGAACCTCTTGTACTTAGGCCCCTAAGGTTACCGTGTGGAAAATTCAGGATCTTCTTAGATCTAACTCAGTCTGCATCTGCTGAGCATCCAGGTTCGGGAAGTCCAGCCAAGGAGCTTTTTAGTTCCTCATTGAAAATGTGGCTGACGGCCTCTGTGTGGCCCTGAGCTGTGCGCTGCCCGGTCCCCGTTCCTCATGGCGGCCCTCCCCGGCTCCCCGTCAGCCGCCCAGGGAGCCCTGCCTTCTCGGGGAGGGAAACTGCCCCTTCACCGGTCCCCTTGGAGCATAAAAACGTTTGTATAACACCCCGAAGGATCTTTCTGTAAATGGAATTCCACTCTGGAAACTGATACGATGGCAGATTTCCAGTAGTTTTTAAGATTCTGTTCTGGATTCACCTGAGGGAAGAACTGTCTTACCTCTCCGCGTTTCTCCTCGTCGACTCTGGTCAGGGGAAAAGTACGGAAGCACCCACAGACACCTGCTATGCTGACCACTGGTCCATTTCTGTTGTTGTTTCGTTAATAAAGATCACGTGCTCACTACAAAAATCTGTAAAATAGAGAAAAACGGAAAGAAAATGCAGCCCCATGGTGGCTGGACACTCTGTTAGTAAGTGTGTTTACTCTGCCTGTGATTTTTACACATAGTTAGTATTATACTTCTTAGGGAAGTTAGTGTCTAGTGTTTTTCCCCATTTAAAAAACTCGCAGTTGAATCATTTTAATTATCAGCAAATTTTATTTTAAAATTTTTTGGATTTCTTTTTTTGAGAGAGAGAGACACACACACACAGGGGTGGGGTAGAGGGAGAGACGGGAAGTCTTAAGCAGGCTCCAGCGTGGAGCCTGACGCGGGGCTCACAACCGTGAGATCATGACCTGAGCTGAAATCAGGAGTCGGATGCTTAACTGACTGAGCTACCCAGGCGCCCCAGTTTTTTTTTCTTTTTTTAGCTTTTTTTACAGTATCAATTTATTTATTTTGAGAAAGAGTGCATTTGAGTGCACAAGCAGGGGAGGGGCAGAGAGGGAAAGAAAGAGAGAATCCCAACCAGACTCCACACTGTCAGCATAGAGCCTGACATGGGGCTCAGTCTCATGAACCTTGAGTTCATGACCTGAGCCAAAATGAAGAGTCGGACGCTCAACCGACTGGGCCACTCAGGTGCCCCAATGTTGGATTTTTAAACAACGTTCCTATGGGTCAGTTTATTAAGATACAATTTATGTACAAAAAGTCATCACTTCTCGGTGCACAATTTGATGAGTTTTAACACACGTGTCCAGCCATCTAACCATCATTGTGTCCAGAGAGAGAATAGTTTTATTATTCCAGGAGAGTCCCACATGCCCCCATCCCTCCTCCCGCCCCGAGATTCTGGCAAGCACCGATCTGCTTCTTTCTTAACTTAATGCATTTGAGATACATTCATGCTGTTACGGGTACCGGAGGTTCATTCCCTCCTCTTGCTGAGTGGTGTTTCTTTTTATGGACGCGTCTCTGTTTATCCATTTTGCCAGTTGGCATGTAAGTTGTTACACCTTTTTAGCAACTAAAAATCAAGCTGCTATAAACATTTGCAAACAGGTTTTTGTTTGAGCTAAGTCTTCATTTCTTTTGGGTCAGAGAGTCAGTGCGCATTTCACTCTATAAGACACTGGCGTGGCATTTTCCAGAGTGGCTGCCCCGTGGTGCATTCCCGCTGTCAGAGTGTGAGGGCCCATGACCTTCATCTCCTTCTGGGTCTAGGTCTCCTTCAGATGGTTCTTCAAGTTGTGGTTCCCATGGGCACCTCACTGTTTCTCGGCACCTGTACATTTTAGGCAGTGGAAACTAGGATCGTCTTGACCAGAGGCTGTTGGCTTCCTGGGGGAACAACCATGCTCAGTGTTGGGCCACCTTACTGATAAGAGGAAGGGATCTGACTTGCATTAAACCCGTGCCGTGTGCCAGGCACTGGGCTGTGTCACAGCAGTGGCATAAAGCCGTCTTCGGTCCCGCTGATAGAGGAGGCCGTGAGTTGTTCAGGGCCACACAGCGAGTCCCGGGGCCAAGCCAGGCCAGCCTCAGCCAGAGCTCCCACACATTCCATTCCTCCTCACCAGCTCTTGGGCGAGTCACTTCCTGTGTGTTTGCTGGCGGCGGCCACACCCAGTCCCATCCCGCCAGCAGCAGGTGCTATTATAAGTATGACTCCTACTTTCCGCCATTTAGCTGTTTCGTTTGTTTTCCTCGCAGCTAGTTTTAATTTACCTCCGGTCCCCCGCTCCTCATGCAACACTGTGACTCTTGCCTCTAAAATGGCTCATCGGCTGCTGTAGTATTTCTTTGGTATGTGAATCATACAAATGCCCTCATCGATGTTTCTCTTCCTCCAGTTAGGCGTCCTATGGATGCGTGACTGAGAAGGTGAGGCTGGCTAGCTCTCATCACAGCCCGTCTGCAGTATTTCCTAGTTCTGGGGAGGGCAGCGTCTGTGCGTTCCCTCCTCTGATCGGCCTGGACCCGTGGGGCGTCTCCTCTCCCTCGTCCCTGCTCGCCAGAGCGGCCTTGCAGTCTTTACCGCGAGACCCAACACGCGCGTGTCCAACACAGCGACGAGACCCAGGCCAGAAGACTTCTGAGTGTCCCTCTGCTAGGCCCCTGGTGCCGTCCGTCCACACTGTATCTCCACCAGTGATCCCGCGTGGGATCTCTCCCCGTGGCCGGGGCCCCGTGTTACTTGCTGTGTTCAGACCTAGTTATCTCGAGCCGTTCCCATCGCTGAGGTGGCCGCTGCCAGCCAAGTGATCTGCTTTGCAGGACGCTGCCCCTCCCCCGTGTTTAAAAGTTCCCAGTTTAGACGAGCGTCAGAGCCCTCTCCCCTGGAATCGGGAGCGTTGGCAGCTGGGGTCAACTTTGTCGGTGTTCCCTGCCAGCCCTGCTTGAGCCCCGGGGCCACCCCAGGGCCGCAGCGCCCCGTCTGTCACGCTTGCCGCCGCGGACACGCTCTTCCCCGACTCGACTCCCCTCCGCTGCTCGGCCCCAGGCACGGCTGGTCCGGGCCCCAGCCCGGCTGTGCGCTGCCATTCCAGGGACTGTTGTGAACGGAGGAGAGCCAGCTCCCCGGTGAAACTGTTCATAACCGGAGCGGACCTTCGACGCTTAGCCAGTGTTGCCAGACTCTGAAAAGGCCACAAGCTTCTTTTGCCCCTTGTGGGGTCTCTGAATGCCCATGGCCAGCTTCTCTGCAAAGTCGCCAGCCCCTCGGGTGTCGGTACGGCCCAGCGCACAGAAGCCTGGTGTCCCTGGGCCGTGACCGGGCTCTGTGTGCCATGGCGGGACCCGGTCCCATCTCAGCCACCCCCTGAGACTGGTCCCCTGGCCTGTCCTCTCTGAGCCTGCTCTGGCATCTGTAAGATGGGGACATGGATGGGCTTTTATGAAGATTAAGTGAACTGAGGGGCACCTGGCTGGCCTAGTAGAGCATGTGACTCTTGACCTCAGAGCCATGAGATCAAGCCCCATGTTGGGTGTAAAGCTGACTTAATTTGAAAAAAAAAAAAAAAAAGAGGGGCGCTTGGGCTGCTCAGTCTGTTGAGCAGCTGACTTCAGCTGAGGTCATGATCTCACAGTTAGGGAGTTGGAGCCCCACATCGGGCTTATTGCTGGCAGCACAGAGCTCGCTTCAGATCCTCTTTGTCCCTCTCTTTCTTTCTGCCCCTCCCCTGCTTACAACCCCCCTCCAATAAATAAACATTAAAAAAAAACAGATGAAATGAACCGAGTGCCCAGTGTGGTGGCAGAGAATACAGCGTGTGCTCCCCGAGAGCCACGTGAGCGTCCACGCTCTGGCCCTCGTCAAGTTAACAGAGGCGTCTGTCCAGGGAGGCGCGTCCCCTCGTCCTGCTGTGAAGTTCTCGTGGGCTCGCCCCCGTCTGCTGGGCACTGCGGTCCGCGAGCAGGGCCTGTCTGTGATCCGTGTCTGCCCCGCCCCGCCTGCTGCGGCCTCGGCGGCTGGCAGCGGGCGCCGTGCCCCTAGCCGGTCGCTTGCCCCCTGCCCATGCCGTCTTCTCCTTGTTCACCGTGTTTTGTCCCCCCCCCCCCCCCAGGAGGCCTCCCGGGCAGCCCTGCCAAGCTCTTCGAGGTTCCTGACACGTGGTAGCCGAGGCCCGGAGGAAGAGCCGTCGCCGGTGCCGTGGCTGAGGAGGACCTGGCCGGCGCGTTCGGAAGCCATACTCTGTTTAATTCCATGAAATGTGCTGGGGGAGGGGTTTGGAGCCAAGTCCGCCTCCTGGCAAAAGCCCAGTTTCTTTGATTTTTGTGGCTGTGTTTCTTTTCTTCCTTTTTTTATGTAAACTGTCTGCTGACACTCAGCACGGTTGTCGGCCGTCACGAATGTGCACATGATTAAGCAGTTGATGATTTGTCGCTCGCGTGAAGCCTTTCCAGCGTCATGAATTTTAGTGCGCTTCAGAACCCGCCCGATGGGCATTGTCGGCCGTGAAACAAGCAAAGAGCGATGTTCTTGGGTGCTGGGATCACGAGTTTGGGGGCTGAAGTCTTTCCTACTTCGAGAGGTTTCTCTTCGGGCTCTCATGTGCAGATCTGGGGGCCTCTGCAGCGTGCGGTTACCGTCTCCCCCCCAGAGAGACCACCCACTCGCATCTGCCCGCTTCCCACCGTAGCTGCCCGAAAATACTAAGCACTCCAGCCTGTTTTTCCAGTAGGAAGATGTTGCGCGCCATCCACCCATAGAGAAGCTTACCGTATGCCTTGGCCTCTGAGGCATATTTACTTAGAGTCCTTCTTCCTCACTTGTGAGTTTCTCCCTGCGAACTGTACAAAAAGTTCACTTCTGTTTTTACACATAGTGCTGTGTTCCCTTTTCCATGTCTCAGCCTGCTTGCCGTCTCTGTTCGGGTGTGTGTCCGTGGTATGGTGGCATGTGTGCATATGTGTGCGTGTGTGTGTGAAATCACAGATTACAACGTGTACCAGCCCTCTCTCTGTTGAAACAGATCACAGCAGCGACAGGATTTCACGGATCTACTCCCATAGATCTGCTTCATGTAGATCATTGTTAGATATTTAACATTTTTTTTGTATCATGGAAAATAAAAAATGAAAAATGTATTTCCAAGAGATGAAAATTAAAGAAATTTTCATAGGATTCTGGTTTTTTCCTGTTTCTATTTTTGTAAGCGAAATGACGTATTTGATCTTTAGATAGATCTTTTTCTTTCTAAAGATCCCCCCTTAAAAGCTCTGGTAAGTCACGAAGCCTGGTGTTCATGGATTTTTTTTGGGGGGGGGGTCTTCTTTTTAACCTCTCACCCCTTATACTTGCTTTAATGAGTCAGATGCCCGGTGCTGGAGTCGGCCCCGTGGAGAATGGCTGTGTAGGAGGGTCCGGGTCTCCTGCCCGGCGGGTGGAATGGAGCCCTTTGCAGTCAGTGGTGCTGAGGGAATTCAGATCAGTGAGACACTTTGCCCAGTTGAGAGCCTCTTAACACTCCCCCTCCCCGGCCCCACCCCACCTTAACCAAGAGTTTGTGGCTGAGTTACAGACCCAGACTTGTCCCGGAGGAGCTTCCACCCCTTCCAGAGCCGTCCCTGCTCACAGCCCGGCGGGGCACTGCGCAGGGAGGTGCAGATGAAGGCCGATGTGTACAGGAGGCTTACAGGGCACTGCCGGGGCTGGGCCAAGTCACAGAAACCGACAGGTAGGAACAGGTAGTGCCTGACACTTTTTAACATAGTAAACAAGAGGGAAAACCTGCCGCAGACTGGGATTGGTGCACGGCGGCAAAGTCCGTGGGGCCCTGTGAACACACTTGCGTGGAGGCACTGAGACGTGGGGGCAGGGCTCCCGTGGGGCAGGGGTGGGGCCTCTCGCCCTACAGCAACGAAACTCTGCGTCAGAAAGCTTTACAGACACACACAAGCTGCTCCCCCATGTCGCTCCGGCCCTAGAGAGGGGCTTGGGGGAGGGGGCGTTCTGCAAGGGGTTTGTGCTCTGGAGCCTTCTAGAGCTGGACTTGCACCCCAGCCCCAGCCGTGGGTTCTCGGACACATGGCCCACTCTGAGCCTCCGTTTCCTCAATTGTACAGTCAGGGCGATATGTACATCTGCCTTGCAGGGTGGTTGTAAGGACTAAATGGAATCACATAAAACGCCCAGCACACACCAATGCACAATAAACAGCAGTTAGATTTGCAGATGACGCTTTTGATCTGAGACCCTGTGTCATCCTCTGTCAACTGGAGCTGAGTCACAGGGAATTTGGCTTAGAATTAAATATCGGGCTGAGCCCTCATCCGTGCTCCAACCCCTGTTTTCTTCCCAACTGGATGCCGCGACTTAGAACAGTTGTATTGGGTTGGTCCTCAGCCCACTCCACACATACATACAGGCTTCCTTGACATCTCTTGGGCTCAAACCCCAGGATGGTGCCCTGGCTTTTTGATGTGGAGGCCCACGGCAATGTGATGATAATGGAGCTCTGGGTCCCGTGGTTCTTACCTGCGGAGCCAAACCCAGAGGTCGGCGTGCAAGTGGAGACGTCAGTGCTTCCTGCAAAGAGTTCAGTGGTCCTTTGATCTCAGAGCTGGGGTGGAGACTGAATGCTGTCGCCTATCCTTTTTCATAGTTTTGAATTCACCAATACCCCCCCTCAACATTCCATTGTGAAAAATTTCAAACACATAGAGAAGTTGAAAGAATTATTCAGCAAACACCCATTTACTCACCTAGATGACCCAGCTACCATTTTGCTGTATTTGCATTATTACATAACCAGCCATCCCTTCTTCCATCAATTCAGTCTATTTTTTTTTATAAGTTTATTTATTTATTTTGAGAGACAGAGAGAAAGAATCGCAAGCAGGCTCCAGGCCATCAGCATCAGCCCCAAGCAGGGCTCGAACTCACAAACCTTGAAATCGTGACCTGAGCCAAAATCAAGTCAGACACTCAACTGACAGCCACTCCAGTGCCCCAATTCAGCCTAGTTTTTGATGTATTTTGAAGGAAGTCCTAAAGTTGGCTGCACTCCCCCTCCCAGATACTTCTGCATGCTTCTCATTAGCCGGAGTTTAATATTTGTTTATTGATGGGGGTCAGTGGGGATAAAACTTACAGTGAAATGCTCTAAGTGTTACCAATTGACAAGTTCTGATAAATGCAACCAGAACTGTCAAGATACGGAACATCCCCATCACCCCCAGAATATTCTCTTCTGCCTCTTCCCAGTCAGTCCCAACCCCACAACCACCCCTCAGAGACACTCACCAGCCTGCATTTTTTTCCACCACAGATTTGATCTTTTCTAGAACTTCATGGAAATAGAACCCTGAAGCGCATGCTCTCTGGTGAGAGCTGTTTCAGCATGGTGTTTTTGAGACTCATTCATGTTGCTTGTGTCAGGAGTTCCTGTTTGTGGCCGAGTCTTTTTAAAGATTTTTTTTAATGTTTGTTTATTTTTGAGAGAGAACAGAGGAAGGGCAGAGAGGGGGACACAGAATCCGAAGCAGGCTCCATCCAGCCTCTGAGCTGCCAGCACGGAGCCCGACATGCGGCTCGAACTCCTGAACTTCGAGATCATGACCTGAGTCGAGGTTATGACCTCAGCCTAACCAACTGAGCCACCCAGGTGCCTCCATGTTTTTATCCGTTCTCCAACTGATGGATGCTTGGGCTGTTCCCAGTTTGGAGCTTCTATGCATAAAGCTGCTGGGGGACATTCTAGAAATTCCCAGGCCTTTCTCCGAAGTGGTTGTATCATTTACATCCTCACCAACAGTGTATGAGCATGCCAGTAGCTTGTGTCGTTGGCAGCACTTGATGTTGTCGGTCTTCAGCCATCCTAGCGGGCGTAGAGCACATCTCACTGCAGTTTTCCTCCGAGTTTCCGTGATGATGTAAGATGATGTGCTTATTGGCCATTAGTATTTGTTCCTCTGTGAAGCATCTGTTCAGTCCCCTTGCCTGTATTTTATCGGGTTGTGTCTCTGTTACTAAGTTGTAGATGCTCATTATATATTCTGGACATTAGTCCTTTGATAATTATCGTGTAAATGTTTAGTTCAAGTCTATAACTTGTTTCTTTTTTCTTCCAGCCTTACTGAAATACAATTGATATACAACCTTGTGTATGTTTAAATTTCTTTTAATGTTTATTTACTTTTGAGAAAGAGAGAGAAACAGAGACAGAGAGCGAGCAGGGGAGGGGCAGCGACAGGGAGACACAGAATCTGAAGCAGGCTCCAGGTTCCGAGCTGTCAGCGCAGAGCCCGAGGCGGGGCTTGAACTCACAAGCTGCGAGATCATGACCTGAGTCGAAGTCAGAGGCTTATTTGACTGAGCCACCCAAGTGCCCCAATACTGTGTAGGTTTAACACGTGCAGTGTGTTGACCGAATACACTCATACACTGTAAAATAATAACCACCATTGTGCTTGCCAACATGATAATCACATGATCACTTTTTTTTTTTTTTTTTTTTTTGGTGAGAACATTCAGGATCAACCTCCCAGAAACTTGTTCATTTTCATAACAGTATCTTTCAATCTTTCACGGGGCAGAAGCTTTTGATTTTAATAATCTATTTTGTATATTTTTCTTCCTTCCTTCCCGGAACTCATCTGTGGGGATGTCATTTGCCATATCTCTGTCCTTTCTAAGAAACCCCCAGGTTGTAAAGGTATCCTTTCGCATTTCTTCTAGAAGCTTTAGGGCTCCAGGGTTTATGATTACGTGTATGATCCGTTCATTTCAGAAATGAGTTCATTTCTGTGTGTACGGCCTGAGGCGGGACTTGAGGGCCTGTTATTTCCATGTGGATATGCGGTTACTCCAGCCACATTTGTGAGGAAGACTTTTCCAATTGGATTGCTTTGCTGCCTTGCACAAAAATCTATTTACCTAATAACAACGGTGGGTTGTAGCGTGTGTGCTTTTATGTATTTTTTTATTAATTTATTTCACATCTATTGATTTATTTAGAGAGAGTGTGAGCGGGGGAAGGGCAGAGAGAGAATCCTAAGCAGGCTCCGTGCTGTCAGCACAGAGCCCCACATGGGGCTCGAACCCACAAGCAGTGAGATCATTACCTGAGCTGAAATCAAGAGTCGGACGCTTAACCGACTGAGCCACCCAGGAGGCCCAGCGTGTGTGCTCTTCAAGTGAGCTGTCACTCTGGCCAAACAACAAACAGCACGGAGAGGGTCTCGTGCTTTCTGAGTGCGCACTCCCCACTCCAACCTCTTAGGGCCATTCATGTGACGTGGAGAGGAAAACTGTAATCCTTGCTTCCTGCAGAGGCCAGGCCACTCTCTCCTGACCTGGGAAACGAGTGAGTGTTAAAAATAGTGCAATCTTTCTGGATGCCTTTTTTTTTTAATCTCATGACTTAAGTTTCATGACTTCGACTGAAATCTTTTTTTTCCCCCAAATGATTCATGGGGTAAATTGATGTGTCCGATTTTGTCGAGGAGGGGAAATAGAATACCTGGAGGCCAGTTCGTGTTTCCCCGGGTTGTGAGCCACCCTGGCCTGCAAGCTGTCCTGTCCCCGGTGAGAGTGGCTCAGTCTGTCTTCTGCCGCTCGCCCATCTCTGTCTCAGGCCCCCTTGGTCTCAGCCAGGCCGCGAACCTGAACTCGAGTAAAGCTCTTGGAGTGGCTGTCCCTGTTGGAAACATTCACGAACGCTGAGAGGGTCATTTAAGTTTGAAATGTTTTAGAGAAGATAATCCTGTCAAAAAAGAAAAGAAAAAGGACAATTAGAAAGGACAGTTTTTGGTTTTGTTTTGTTTTGTTTTGTTTTTTACAAAGGGAGGACTCTGTTTTAGAAAAGAATTTGAATCCCCATGGCTCTTTCTTTTTTTTGTTTTTTTTGATGTTAATTTATTTTTGAGAGAGAGATAGAAACAGAGCGTGAGCAGGGCAGGGGCAGAGAGAGAGAGAGAGAGAGAGAGAGAGAGACAAAGAATCAGAAGACAGGCTCCAGGCTCTGAGCTGTCAGCACAGAGCTCGACACGGGGCTTGAACCCACAAACTGTGAGATCATGACCTGAGCCGAAGTCAGACTCTTAACCGATTGAGCCCCCCAGGCCTGTTTCTTTTAAGTGGGAACACCGGGAAATACTGGACCAGTGTGCTTGGAGCCAGACAACCTTGCTGGTGTGTGACTCGTGCACACCAGGGAGCCCCGTGCGGAGGAGGCCTGTGTGCCCAGACCTGCCTCGTGTGACCCGTCCGCAGGAGTGGCATGGCATATTTCTGGGGCCAGCCAGAGGACTGGGCACCTGCTTGTTGATCCTTGGCCCCTCCAGCTCAAGGACGGTGGAGACAGCACCCCTCTGTCCGGCCACTCCAGCCCGTGGAAACTTCGTTACTGGCAAATGGCCAGGCCCCCCAAAACACTGAATGGGGTTCCCTCCCCCTCCCTGCAGTGACGAGGAAAGTAAACTCGGTTCACATCTCCTCCCCTCTGTCCACTGCGGCCCAGTCGGCCCTGCCTCTTAATTCTCAACACCCGGAATCTGGGCGTCTAGAGTCATTCCTTGGACGCAGGAAGGGCTAATCTTACCCGGAAACTTGCTCTTCATTTGTCAAAGGGGGCGCTGTGCCTACTGGTCACCTTGAATGATCCTGGTCCGGGAGCTTAGCCTTGTGCCACTTTTGGAGGCCACATCTCAGGGGTGGAGACGGAGAGTGCTTGGGATGTTTTCTTTTTACAACCCCCATCATTTCTCCACGGTCCAGCCAAATCCCTCTTCTGCAGGGTGCAAATCAGGCACGCCCTCCTCCCCACCCCAGGGATCCTCAGAGCCCTTGTCTCCCCTTCCCCGTCTGCTCACTCCCTCTTAAACTTGGAAGCCTTTCCAAGGACACCCAGGCTTGAGAAAGCGCATAGTCAGGGCAGCACGCTGCAAGGCCCCGCGTCCGTAGTCAGGGATTGCCCAGATCCGAGCTCACGGCCAGGACCAGGACGTCCACTCAAGTTCAGTCTCCTGTCCCTCCAGCCGACCACTGCCACCCACTCCCTGATAATAGGTCTTTGCCCGGTTGGCTGCCATCGTTCCCTTACACTGGGAAAAACCAAGGGTCTCCTCCTTGGAAACATATAACCCCTGCTCTCCAGAACTTTCCATTTCAAAGTAAACTCCTCCTCCAGTCTTCAGTCCTTGCTTTTTTGAGAGTAAAATTTCTTGAGGTGCCTGGGCGGCTCCGTCAGTTGAGCATTCAACTCTTGGTCTCGGCTCAGGTCATGATGTCACGGTTTGTGGGTTCGAGCCCCGCATACTGGAAAATGTATATAGGAGCATACTCTATTCGAAGTGCTGTGTGATTTTTTTGACGCATAGATATCGTATGCCCCATTGAAGATAAAACCGAAGCCCGGGCGGTTAGGTATCTTGCTCTGGAGGTCACAGTCAGTGGCAGAGCCGGAATTCAAACCCCGGGAGTTCTGACTATGACGCCCACTCCAGACCTGATGCTGCCTTATGTCCACATGAGGGGCATCACGTGGACCAGGAGTACAGATACAACAGCAGTACACGTGCTGAGGGAATCGGGGCGGCTGGCTCACCGTGCACGTCCTGTGTGCCACTGGAGTCGTGCACTGGGGTGTGACCAGATTGCCCCTTTTCACCCCCCGCTAGCCATCCCCAGACCTTCCTCCTCCTCCTCCTCCTCCTCCTCCAAGCCATGGTGATGATAAGGCTTCATCCACATCTTACACAATTCCTTAAGGGACAGCTTCCAGAGGGGGATTACAGCGTCAGGGAGCAGAGCATCATAACAGTTCTGGATATGTATGTCCGCATCAATTTCCGATTTTTCTGAGCATCAAAGTGTCCGAAAGGCCCACCTGCCTAGTGAGCCAGCCAGTCATTTCAGGTCCGAAGCCCTAGGTGCGGCTCCAGAGCTACAAGGCGCACCTTGGTCTTTGAAGCTGTGTGTTCCCAGCTGCTGGCTGCTGCGTAGGCACCACCTGAGAGCTTATTAGAGATGCAAATTCCTGGACCTCACCCCCAGTCCCACTGAGTCACAGACTCCAGGGGTGGGGCCCAGCTGTCTGGAAACAGGCCCTCTGGCTATTTCTGGTGTTTGCTCAGGTCTGGGAGCCACTGGTCTTGGGAAAGCTGCAAGGGAAATGCACACATTTTATAAACGGACTGTGTGAGGGCCAGGAGCAAATCCAAGGGCAAGGTCACTTCTATCGCTAGTTCACATTAAAAGTCATCACCTCTCAGCTGGTTCACATCTTTAGATGGTGGACAGTTAGAACCATGTGGAAAATGTTACTCTTTCATGTTAAGGGTCTCGTTCTTCTAGGCACCTGTGATTCGTACTTATGTGCCGGGTGCATTATTATTATTATTATTATTATTATTATTACTCCCTTTGTTCCCTTGGGCGAGGAAAGGAAGGCTTAGAGCAATTTAGCAACAGCCCGAGGTCACACAGCTTGTCAGTGGCAGAACTCAAATTGGAATACAGTCCGTCTACCAGAGACTGAGCTCTTAATGGCCACATTGCTCAAGAGAGGAGTTGAGATACATACATAATGTTGGTGCCTTTCAAATGATTGGGTTTGCTGTTGTTCTGGAATCTTCCAAAGCTCTCTAGCGGCCTTCCCGTTTCTTGTAGCCTCGTACGTTGACGAACTCAGGCTACTCTTGGGTACACCTAACTCCTGCCTGGTTGGCAATCCCTAGCAGGTTAGCAAGGCGATCTTTTATTTCCCTCCACCTGTTGCACTCTGGTGCCTGAGGATTTCTTCTAGAGTGTCCGGACTGCCCACATCCCCTGGTAGGTAAGTGTGCCTTACCTCGGCTGTAGATCACTGGAGTTCTGTGACACTTCGTGCAGTGAGCTCTCAAATCCTGTGTCAAATGACAGGTGGGGGCCAGAGGTGGCTGGGAGGGCAGGGATCTGAGGGGACAGGGACGCTGGGAGTGGGCACCTGTGCTTTGTCTGTTATCACCTGCCCCCGGGGGCGGAGAGCCTACAGTCTGGGATCCACACTGGCTCTCTGGCTTCCCCTGGGGCTTGCTACCACCCCCAGAGGCTTCCCCGGAGGGAGTCTCAAGAGGTGCCTGCAAATCAAAACAGAAGAGACTCCAAATATTCCCTTCTGGGGCCACGGAAGGGAAGCCAAATGAAATGTGAAGAGGTGTCTGAAAGCCGAGAGGAAACCAGGAAGCCCTTCCAGAAGTTCTATTTGTGGTAAGAAACTTTGGCACAGGGCAGCCAGCTCTGCTGCAAAAATAGACCGATGTGCCGAGAAATGGCTCCGTTCTGGAAGCACATGTCCCCCTGCACAGAGCTCGAGCGGGGCCTTTGGAAGGCCGGGCCCTTCGCTGCCTCCCTCGGGACCGTAGCACCGAGGGGCGAGGGCGAGAAGAGCTCAAGATTTAAAAGCAACATCTTGCCCGTAACCACGGCTTTACCGTCACCAGTTGCGCCCATGGAAACACAGAGCAAAAAGGAAGGTGTGGAGTCAGCGCCTGGACACCCACCAGGTCGGCCGCCCGCCCGGGGGCCGCGGGACCAGCTCCCCGGCACCGCGCTCAGTCCCCGCTTCGCCTCCCGGAAGTGACTCCCGGAAGTGACGTGGCGAAGCAAATAGGGTCCGGCGCGCGGCGGGAGAAAGCGTGGCTACGCAGCCCACGCACCGCTCTGTAGCCACCGAAGAGCAAGGCGCTCTGAAGGACCCCCTGTAACACATCGGCCCGACAGCCTAGCGGGGGTTGAGATGTGACCGTGAAAGAAGGAAACGTGGCAGGGACCGGCTCCGGAAGTCCGTCCTGACTCGGGAAGTCCGCTGTCGCCCTCTCTCCGTTCCGTGCTCGTGTGGCACAGACTTCTCAGGAGAGCGCCCCTGGCCTGTCTGCCGCAGGGGGAGCGGGGGTCGGCCGACTTCCTGCCGCCTGGGTGGCATCAGGGCCCCGAAATAGTCACGCTCCTTGCAAAGAGACACTTCATATCATGGCCCAGGCAGTTCGGAGGGAAAAAAAAAAACCTATAAATGAGTGCAGACCCCAGGTCTCCGTGCATAGAACTGGGGCACATTGAGCAAATCAGACCCGCCTGCCCCTTCCCACGGGAGATGGATGGCATCCTTAACTTTGTTCCTTGTGGCCAAGAACCGTCCGCACCCTGTGGCTTCGAGTGAAGACTGCGGTAGGAGGTAAAAAGGTCCAGTGTCATCTGGAATTAGCAGTCCCGGGCTCACGGGCAGCTCTTCTGTCTTCACAGGACAGCTGCTGGAAGGCTCAGGTGGGGAGGGGCCTAGAGAGGGGGGTCCCCTCTCTGCCGACGGGGAAAGCGGTGCTCAGGGGGGAGTGTCCAGTGGGGAGAATGGCGGCATCTGCCCCCCGGGAACTGCCTAGCTGGTGGTTAAGATCCCCGTGCAGACAAGAGCGGGTGGGAAGGATGAGGAGAGGCTGTCAGGAAGACAGAAAGCAGGGAAGAGGGAGGGAGGGAGGTGAGGGGGAGGGAGAGCAAGCATCTCCTGGTTCAGCAGAGCAAGCATCTTCAGCAAGCTGGGTAGGCAGGGCACTTGGGTTTGCACACACCTGCCCCCACGTATCTGCCGTGTCGTGCGGAAATGAACTTGTTTTTTTCCGGAAGTCTCCCATTTCTTTGAACTGTCATGTTCTTCTGGCAGGACCTGCCTTTCACGGCCCCCCTCGCTCCAAGCAGGGCACGGGAGGTGAGCACACGGCCCAGCCAGTCAGAGCACACACACACCCCCGTCCCCCCGGGAAGGGCCAGTCACTCCCCGGGCAGTTTGGGGCACCGCGCTGGAAGAAGGTGACCCGGGGTTGCCAGGCAGCCATTTCCCTCGTGGAGAACCCACCCAGGGTAGAGGAGGAGGCAATCCGCTTTGAGAGTCCCTCGGGGCCTGGAGCCCTGGGCTCCCCCTACTGGATCTATTCACCCCGGCCCTTCTGGTGACGTCCATCAGTGAGTCACCTCCCTCTGCCCCACTTACCTCAATTTGAGCTACATTTCTGTCCCTTGCAACCATAGAGAAGCCCTGACCATCAGAGGGAATGTTTCGGCACAGGAAGGGCCTGCAGTCTGTGAAAATAGCTCACAGGTATATAGACCAGCCGTAGACTAATGCAAAGACTAAAAGAGATACGTGTAGTTTAGATTGAGAAAGTCCTGGTTCTTCAGGCCCTTGAGAAGCTGTCATTGACCTCCAGCTCATCGATAGGCCATTGGCAACCCCTACTTTCCCATTCTTCCAGAAGGTTCGTCAATGGGGTGAGTGCACAGGAGAAGCAAGTCCTCGCCCACAAAGAGGCCATGCAGACGTTGGCTTGACGGAAGGCTGCTGTCTCGGACAGGTCCTGGGGTTTGAAATGGAATTTACTGCTTAGGGGAGGCCCCGTCTCAGCAAGAGCCTTCCATCCTACCCTGGGGGCGGGGGTCTGATCAAGATCTTCTGCAGAGGAGAGGCCTTGTGCCTTGGAGCGTGTGAGTCTGTCCCACGAGGGCATTATTGCATATGGCCCACAGCCTGCCGCCCTGCTTCAAACACGGACCATCTGTCGTCCAGACTTCTTCCTGCTCTTTCCAGTCTTCTCTATCACTTTTTCTGACACTGGGAATATTTCCCAAACCAACAACTGCCGGGTCCACAGTGTTCCTTGCTGAATGTCCCCATAGGAGAGACAGGGGACACAATGAATAAAAACAGCCATCGTCGCTTCCCGCCCTAGCAAAGGACCGCTTTCCGGGCGGCTATCACATGCCACTCCTGTCTTCTGCTTGACTTCACGTGGTAAAAACTGTCTAGAAGATGGGGCAGGAACTTCAGATGATTTCCCCCCACAGATCCCTTTCTAGAAGCATTGGGAGAAGCACACGTTTTGTCATGAAACAAATTAGAAGTCAAGACCAAGCTATGGGGGCATCTGGCTGGTTTAGTCATCGGAGCCTGTGATTATTGATGTCAGGGTCATGAGTTCAAGCCCCACATTGGGCATGGAGCCTACTTTAAAAAAGAAAAAACAAAAAGGATATATACAAAAAACAAAGAAAAGACTTCCAAGGCAGGCAGTCAAGGCTCTCAGGATGGAACTGTGAAATCATGGACCTGGGCTCCTTCAGTCTTCTGGCTCTAGCCTCCAATCTACAGGTCTACTCATGGTCCAAGGTGGCTGATGGAGCTCCAGCCATTACATTCCAGTCTGTAAGAATGAGGAACATTCTGACTCATCTTTTAAAAAAGTTTTTGTATATTCTTAAATTCTTACTTATTTTTGAGAGAGAGTGTGTGTGAAAGGGAGAGGGAGAGCAAGAGAGGGAGACAGGATCCAAAGTGGGCTCTGCATTGACATCAGTGAGTCTGGTGCATGGCTCGATCTCACAAATCATCAGATCATGACCTGAGCCAGAGTCGGACGTTCAACTGACTGAACCATGCAGGCGCCCCATGACCCACCTGTTTAGAAGCCCTCCCAGAAGTCCACCGTAAAACTTCCACTTACATTCCATTGGCTAGCATTGAGTCACATGGTCATGTCTGGCTGCAGGGGAGTCTGGGGGAAAGGTAGTTGTGGGAGGGAGCCTCTAAAATGGCCCTAATAAACCCTGCCTCCTGCTATTCACTCCCTTGTGCAATTCCTTCCCCTTGAGTGTGGGCAAGACCTAGTAACTTCCTTCTAATCAATAGAATCTGGCAAAGGTGATGGGAGGTCGCTTCTGAGATTAGGTTACAGAAAGGTGGTGGCTCCTACCGTGGGTGCTCTCTCTTGCTCTGAGGAACTCCAGCTGACATGTGAGCTGCCCTATGGAGAGACCCACGTGGCAAGGAGCTGGTGTCTCTGGCCAACAGCTAGCAAGGACCAGAGGCCTGCAATCCAACAGTCTCACCAGTGAGCCCAGAAAAGTGTCCTGCCAGTCACACCTTCAGACGACTGCAGCCCTGGTGGGCCATCTTGACTGCAATTTTTTTTTTTTTTTAATTTTTTGAGGGAGAGGCAAGATGGCAGAGAAGTAGGGAGCTCCGTACATTTCACTCGCCCCCATCTCTCAAATGGAGAAGGCCTGAAGCCACAGGAACCCTTACGGAATCCAGGAGTTTGGGAGGAAAAGGAGACAGAGACCGCTGAGAAAACCTTATAGCGTGAGTGCGAACTGGGGAAGACCAGAGACACAGAGGGAGGGGAGGGAGCCCCCTTTGCGGGGAGCCGCGGTGAGTCTAGAGGAAAAAAGAAAGAGCGGCCAAAACTGCTCAAGACACTGTCCGTGTCCCTGGAGGAGAGAAAAACCTTGGCTCGGGACACAGAGGAATCCGGTTTCCTGCTGTCGAGCTGACGCTGAGCAGGACACAATGGTCCCAGGCGACCCCGGGAGAAACCGCTCCTCTGCTCACCAGCGGGACCCGGAGGGGAAGAGGCAGCACCTGAAGCCGCGCCGCAGCTCTTCTGGCTCGGCTCAGTCCCCAAGGGGGAGGCGAGAGGCTTGAAACTGCTCAGAGGGACTCGCCTGCGGGTTTATATTTCAGGCGATATCAATGGGGCACACGGACTAAGATCTGGAAATGAGGTGTGGCTTGAGATATGGAGCACGACCCACCTTGGCTACGCCCATGGCACAGGGAGATCAGACCCAAAAGAGTAAGTTGCAACACTTGGTTCTAGAAGGGACTGGGGTGCAGCCATTTTTCTCCCCACAACCACCAAGGTGGAACCTCAGGGAGCCGCCCTCTGGACGCAGTGGAGGCTAAGACCCGCCTACACCAAACCACGCCCATCCCGCTAGAGAGCTGCTTTTTTTTTTTTTCACCGGAGGCCGGGATGAGACCAACATGGATGCACTACCGTGATTAATTCTAGATCAGTTCTTTCTATTCAGATATATGTTCCCTTGTCTCATCCATACCCCTCCCCTCTGCTGGACTGGGCACTCTGCCTATCAGTTTGCTTAAACAGTCACATTTAATCCATTCTCTAGATCTGTATTCTACACCTCCACTGCTACCCTTGTATATCTCTCTTCTGGAGTAATCAGACCATATAGTTTCTCTGAGTAACATTACCTTCGTTTCTTTCTCCTCACCTCCTATCATATTCTCCTCTTCCTCTCTCTGAATTAAGCCTCTTAGTCTCTCTGCCTGGTCATATCTCTTCCAAATTTGCTTCCTCCTTGCCCCGTCATTTCTCTTTTTGTATAAGCTCTTCCAACACCACTGCATACACCTGGCTCTTTACTTGTAGCTGGGAATCCTGGTTTTATGCTTTTAGACTATCCTTTGTCTTTTGGGTTTTTTCTTTTTTCATTTTTCTTTTCTTCTTTTTTATTTTTATTTTTATTATTTCTCTTTCCTCCTTCCTCTTTTTTTCCCTTCCTTTTTTTTCTTTTTCGTTTTCCCTGTCGGGTTGCATGTTTGTTGGATTTGTCTGTGTGTTTGTGTGCCTTTGTTCCCCGTGTGTTTTCTGTCTGTTTTCTTTTCCAGGGCTACCTCAAGAAAGAAGCCAAAGTACACACAGTGGAGAGTCCCATATACCACTACGAGTAGGAAAATAAAATAACCAAAGTGTCAACAAGAGAGACC